TTGAAGCATCACATTCAATACATTGAAAATACCAATTTTGTTATTTGTCGTTGAATGAATCTATTTTATAATTTTTAATTTCCTAGGGCGTCCCCTGAAAGCAACGCGTTGTATAGCCTGACTACAGTGAAGAGTATGCAAGGGCCGCTACACCAGCGCCCGGGTGTAGTGACAAATAAGCACGGGTTCCCCGTTACGGACGGACGTGAGTAAAGAAATTAGTCTATAAAACAAATGAAATTAATATTATGATGATGAAACTAATGAAATTAATATTAGGATAAGATCTTGGAATATAAACACTCTCAATGACAAATTAATGGAATTAGTTGATATTATGATACATAATTCAAGAAACTAAATGTGTTGGAGAAAAGGCTAAAGAGATTGATAACTTAAGCTTTAAACTTTGATATTCTGGTAAGAGTCGCACTAGAAATGGTGTAGATGTGATTATAGATACGAGTTTGAAAGATAATGTTGTAAAAATTAATAGAGTTGGAGATAGAATTTTAGCCCTTAAGATTATCATTGATACTAAAATTTTTAATATTATAAGTGTTTATTTCCGATCTAAGTAGGTTTAGATACAAAGTTTAAAGATAAATTCTGGAATGACTTAGAAGACTTGATACAAATGATACCTCTTGAATAAATATTTTTTATTGGAGGAGATTTAAATGGACATGTCGGTAGAATGGTAGAAGATTTTAGAAATTTTCATGTTGGCTATGATTTTAGAGTGACTAATAAAGAATGTAAAGCTATTTCAGAGTCATTTTAGATTTTGCTTTAGCGTATGATTTTGTTATTACTAATAATTTATTCAAGAAAAGAGATGAACATCTTATTACTTATAATAATAGATCTAATAAAACACAAATTGATTATTTTCTTATGAGAGGAGATCGTCAAGATTGTAAAAATTGTAAGGTTATTCAAAGTGAGAATTTATGTACCCAACATCGCTTATTAGTTCTAGATTTTAAGATTAAGAGTTGTAAAATAAAGAGTACTAGGACTCATCATCGTAGAATTAGATGGGGAGCTTAAAAGACAAATAAAATTATTTTTCAGAGTAAAATTCAAGATTTCAAAATTTGGGATGTTCATGATAAAGCAAATGTTATGTGGGATAAAATAACAAACATTATTAATTAAGTAGTTAAAGATGTACTTGGAGAATCAAAAGAAAAATTTTTTTAAATAAAAGTATTTTGGTAGTGGAATAATAATGTGCAAGAAAAGATTAAATATAAGAAGTTATGTTATAAAAATTAGTTTAAATGTAAAAATTAAATGTAAAATCTGAGAGAACGGGGAAAAATATCAAACGGCCCGCAGGGAGTCTAAAAAGACAATATATGACGCTAAAAAGTTTGTTTTTTATGATATTTATAATAGAATATATACTAAAGAGGGTGAAAAATATATGTATAAATTAGCCAAACAAAGAAAAAAGAAAAGTAAAGATTTAACTCAAGTAAAGTGTATTAAAGATGAAAATCAAAAAGTAATTTTATTATGATATTCAGCATAATGGGTGAAAACATTTAACTCAATTTTGATAAACTTTTTAATGAAGTTTCTAAAAATACAATCGACTTTAGTGATCTTAATATCGTTAATGATAATAAAAAGTTTCATTTTTACCGTTACATTAGTAAAAAGGAAGTTGAGGAGGCTTTAAAGAAAACTAAGGGTGAAAAGTTTGTAGGGATGATATTCCAATTGAAGTATGGAAATGTTTAAGAGATTTGGGAGTTTCTTGGCTTACTAGACTCTTTAATATTATTTTAAAAACTAAAAAGATGCCTGAGGAGTGTAGGAAGAGTATTTTGGTCCCCAATTTTAAGAATAAAGGGGATGCCTAAGAGTGTGCAAATTATAGAAGAATTAAGTTGATGTGTCATACTTTAACATTAAGGACAGGGTAATTGAACATAGGTTAAGACGTATTACAAATATTTCTTATAATCAATTTGGATTTATGTCGGGCAAGTCTACTATGGAAGCTATACATTTATTGATAAAGAGAATCTACATTTGATTAAGTTTGATGGAGAAGTTCAGAGATAATAAAGAGAATCTACATTTGATTTTTATTGATTTAGAATTTAGAAAAAGTAAAAAGTTTATGATAAGGTTCCAAAAGATATCCTTTGGAGAGTTCTTGAGAAGAAAGGTGTTGATATGACTTATATTCAATTCATTAAAGATATGTATACTAGAGTTGTTACTTGTGTTCGAACTGAAGGAGCATTGACCAAATATTTTCCTATTTCTGTTGGATTACATCAGGAATTGCTAAATTTAACAAAAAATATGATTTAAAACCAATTTGAAGCACATTTTAATAGTTTGGGACTAAATTGGAACATTTTAAAACGTGGGGACTAAATTAGACACTTCTTAATAGTCACCGGACTAATTTGGGCTTATTCATAGTTAAAGTTAACAGTTTCTAATGCAACCTAGTATGAGATGCACAATAAAACACAAAAAAAAATTCACAATGTGTTAAAAAATCATAATTTAAGCCAAAACTTGTCACTTTTAATGCAAGGATAGCAAAAATGCTTTTGGAAAGATAATTTAGTAATTGACAACATATAGAATTATACAAAAAAGCAATGAATCGCATAAAATAATAGCAACATATTAATTTCACGCTTCAGAAAGAAAACAAACCAAGTATCTTGCTTGAAAATTTTTCAATCAGCAAACAAAACCAGAGACAATAATTTAAGAGGTGAGAATAAGAATAGAAACTAAAAAAAAAAGGAGCTAAGCCTCACATGAATACAAGAAGTATCCCTCTAGAAGTAGATGTGCATACATGCAAAACACTCAAAAAATACATAATTGACAAACACACGCAAGAAGAGAGAAAAATTGGAATTTCTATTTCAATAATTTTTTACATGTCTCAAGTTACTATTTATTGTCTTCAAATGGCCCAAAATAACAAACACATCAATGAGCATTAACTCAAAAAATAGCTTGTTTCAATAAGACCAAAAGGAATTCAAATATTAAAAGCCATGTTTGATAAATTCAATTCCAAAATTGCATCAAAAAATCACCAAAATATAAAAATTCCCGTAGTAGCAATCAGCAACATTACTAGAAAGTAGGGTGATGTAAGTTTAACATGGCGATCAGGAGAATTAAAAAGTTATAAGTGTAATGGGCAAGGCTGAACAATAAGTTAGTGAGTAAATAACAACGGAGATGACTGCAGCACGTAAGAGAAAACAATTTATGCAGCAAAAGAAACCAGTGGTAAAATTAGCCAACAAAGAATGGCAATAAAAGATAGTGCGGGCAATAATACAATTAAATGATGGTAAAGGGTATACATCATCAACAACACAGTAAAAATTATTTCCAGGTTTGAAGCATCTAAATTCCATTTTTTAAAATTGAGATTCCTGGGATTGAGATGTAAAACTATGTAGTAAGACTTAGATTTAACAAATTTTTTAAATTAGTTTAAGAAAACAACTCGTTCATATAGGATGACATTATAGGCATGTCATACATTAAAAACAACAAAAATAAAATTTAATGGTAAAACTAATATAAATCATCATTTTAAGGGGCCATTTGGTTGCAGGTAGGATTTAGTTTGAATGAGATTTAGTAAATCCTATAAATCCGGATTTATGAAATCTTGAAGGGATTAAATCCTAAAAACTGTTTGGCATGTTAACATGTAAATCTTAATAAATCCGGATAAATTGTTTGGCAATTTTAATAGGATTTACTAAATCCCTCTCTTCCCACACGCTTCAGTTTCTCTAAATCTCATAAATATGGCTTCCTACGATTTTTGATAAATCCCGAATTTAAAGCAAAACGGGATTTATGAAGCTGTAAGATTTACATGATCGTTTTTTTGTTGTTTGGCAGAATTTAGCATTTAGCATAAATCCTGCATAAAACATGCTTAAAAGCGTCTTCCAAAACCCCTAAATACTTTCAAATAAAAGTACATTTTAGAATTTCTATCAGTTGGTGCTTAGAATGATATGTAAACACATTAACTTTAACGATCCGACATTTGCTCTTAAAATCATAATTATCATATCAATCTTAAAGTCACTGAATTAAAATCACATAAATTTGCTTCTCATATTACACTGAAAAAGAAAAACATTTTTGTTTGTAAAAGGTGATAATTTTGAAAAATAAAGGGGGTGCAGATAGATAATAGATAAGCTTGTATAAATATTTAGAAGCATGTATGTTTGTTTATCAATGCAAACGAGAATAGCTATGTTCTAGTATGTCCCAACTGATTTTCTTCGGGATATTGTTTTAAGATATTAAAAATGATATGCATTATTTTGAGCAGTCATAAAGAAGCATAAGGTTTAAGTTGAAAAGACTGGCACACAGCTAGAAATAAAATCCCATTAAAAAAAACCTGAAAGAACGAGCATTTATGAATGATTATTGAATAGCCATGATAAAAATGGTACATAAAATTAAATTGAACTAGACAAATTCTGCATGGCACAAGATGAGAAACAACTTTTTGAAAGATGACTAGAAAGCATTTGCAATGAAAGAATGTCACGGAGGAACACAGATGAACGAGCCTCGTAGAAAGCTAGCTGGAAAAAGTATTGAATGAATGACTCTTACTTGGTATTTATAGCAATTCAAATCGCACGCAGGCTAATAAAAAAAAGAAAAGAATATCATTATTATTTTCCTAGATAAGCCTATCAACTAAGTCATGCATTCATAGATGAACACAACAAAAATGTAGAAATTACTGTTAATCATTTGTACAAGTAACAAATGAATATTTCATATAACCAAAGATTCATATGAAAACACCTCATCCTTGGTTTCCATATTAAGCAAATTCCAGCATTAGAAATGTTCACGTTGGATGTGAGTTACTAAGGGACATAACTTTAATAATTGTAGTGGCCTCCATCAACATTAATTGATAATTTCATAAAGGGAATCAAAGCATGGCATACCGAATCATTAGCTCATAATAAATGCGCTTCAACTCTTGGAGTGATGGTATATCAGAAGGAGCCTCTTGAACCACATTATCTCCTTCCTTGGGCTTTTTCTTTTCTTTGGAAGAGTCTATATCAAAAACCCGAGGACTAATTTTCCTTGATAAAATTTGTGCACGCACATAATCCTCACGATCTAGGCATAAGCGTACCTGAATTTAACACCAATTATTAAAAAAAAAAGATAAATTTCATAGAGATGCTATGTTCAAACATGAAGCATGTCATACTTGCTCAAGTATAAATGCTATCTTTTCAGTTTTCGCCATTGCTCCAAAAGTTTCCACCTAGGGAATCATATAATCAATGTATAAATAGCTGGAAGAGAAGATTAAGTAAATGGAATAAATTCTTCAAAATTAAAGTATTTCTAAGTAAAAACCATATCTTACTGCAATTTCTTGCATCAAATCTGCAGCTTCAGCTATAAGGCCTTGCTCCTCTTTTATTTTTGCAAGTTTCTTTATCAAGCGTGCTCTCTCTATCTCAACATATATCTGCAAAAGAAGATTAGCAAGAGTACTTAAACGATATGCCATGCACAATTACGCTAAGAGATTTATAATTAAGCTGCATTAGAATTATCAACAGAAGCATCAAATTAGGTGCACCTTTCCAGCTGAGACATTGTTCAATGTCTTGATGAGTTCCACGCGTGTATCAGTATCAGGTGTCTTATCAATATATTGCATTGCTTGTTGTACCATAGCAGTCACAGCCTGTAAACCAAAATAAAAAATAACAAAAGCAATAAACAAGAAATAAGCATCCCAAGGGATCATATCAAATCGGGAAACAAAACTATGATTGCATGGTCTCTGCTCTCACATAGATGCATGACTAGTACTACAAGTTTGTTCACTATGGCCATGAAGGCAAAGAGAGAGTGCATGAAATGTGGTACGGATTGTGTGCTTAAATAAAAAGTATATATCTATCAGAAAAGATATAACACTTTCATTAATCACAAACAACGATGAAAAAATAAACAACAAAAGCTAATCAAAAGCAAAGTTTTTGATAAAGTCTAAGACAGGGATCATTCATCTATAACATGCAACAAATTTTAAGGATAGGATAAACTTAAATCCATCCTAAAAAACTTATGGGATCAACTAGTTAACAAGTAACAGAAAAACTAGAACTCAAAATTATTCAATATCATTTTTTTTCCAGGCAATATAACCATTATATCAGTGATTCCAAAATGCCTGATAGCACATTTCAAAAGATCTGGGTGGTTTAATGCACTATCATGTTGCCTCACAAATTCTAGGCCCCATAAAATATAACTCTTAAATATTTCAACCAATTTTTCAAGCATCACACAGCATTGTTACCCCTAGTACTATTGGAGACTCACTTCACAAATAAGAAAGAACCTATTTAAATCAAACGTGTATGGCCATTGAGTAATTTGACATGCTTCAAAGTTTTCACACCATGAAACCAGATTAAAAAATTTGACTTAAATCATATGAGAAAAAGTATTTTTATGCCCAGCCATAAAATAAAATGGCACTTGCAGGCATCATACTTATAGGAATTAGCAAATATTAACATTAAAACCTGTAAATTTTGGCCAATAAATCTATATGAAAGAATTTTGTAATTTCCAAACTATCCTTAAATGCTTCAAGAAGAAACTTCAAAAAGATAAAATTTAATCCTTTCAGTCTCCAAAAAGCTTCTACCATGAGTTTCCATCTGAAAAATATTTGTATATGGCTTTCTGTTTGAGCAATTTTTCACATGATAAAAAGGGAGCAATTTAGCATGAAAAACAAGTCAAGGATAGCTGATTCTGGGCAATTCAAACCAAGTGGAAAAACAAATTAATAACAAGACCTTTCAGAAGGTATTACCTGCTTAAGCTGGCCCCTCCTCTTTGCGATAAGTAAAATCTGATCATTGAGAGTCTTCCATGCTCCAGCCTTGTAGCAAAGCTCCACGATCTCTATAACTGCCTTCTTCGTCCCGGCAACATCACCGGCCAGTCTCATCTGCTTCTCCACATTCAATAGAGCGTCTACCTTGGCGTCCAAATTATCTTCCTGCAATTTAACAAACAATTAAAAGCCATAACAAAAACAAAAAAAATCGGCAATAACAAAATCTCGTCAGGAAACTTGAGGAATAATAACATTCATACTGCTCAAAACGCCAGATCAACCCTAGCCCTAAATCCAACATCACCGACAGTGAAGCGAATGACTACTCATAACAAAATACCATATTTTAAATAAGACCCCGATTGACAGGATTTAGTTCGGCTGATAGAACAACCATAAGCAATTGAAAACGGAAATCGAAAGAGGCAAAAGGAGCTTACCATCTTCTCGTGAGAAATTGTAGCGGAGGAGGAGAAAACCTAGATCACCGGGGATGCGATCTAGGAAGAGAGAGCGAGGGTCTACTCTGGCCTTGCTGTTGATTGGAGAACCGAAGTTATTTTAACAGAGCACAATATTATCAATAATATTTAAAATACTATCATTTCCATCTAATTTGAACGTAGCTAATCCAATAATAATTTCCCCTCCCATTCGGTGTGTTTTTGGGAAGAAATATTGCTTTGAGCTGTTGTGGCTTATTTGATGGTTTTGTAATAATATTTTTAATAATATCATATGAGTATAATTTGCCTAATAAGAATATTGTATACCTAAAGATGATCTGCATAATCTCTAGACAATCAGATGGTTCAAGATCAGAAGACTAGAATGTTATTGGTTACTCCCTTTAAAGTAGAGCTAGTAATGTAATTCTATGTTTTTTCCTCTTATTCTCGATAAATAGGAGGAGTATTATTTACGTACGAAGTACGCAAGCAGTTATGTGTGCGTACTCCTCCAAATAACATTTCAATAAATCAGTTATTCGTGATTATTGAGAAGTTATTGTAGTATAACCTCTCAATAACCTTTCAATAACCTACTAATATATTTCGTTGTTTCGTCAATAACTTTCAATAACCTACTAATATGTTTCGGAAGTTTTGTCAGGTTATTGGGGGTATTAACCCCAATAACGCTGACATAACTCTCGAATAACCTCTATACACTCACAGTTCTGCGTGTGTACTCCGTATGTAAATATTTTTCAAATATGAGGGTTGTCACATGTAATGGGGACTTTTGGATCTTTTTTTTTTGTAACATATTCTCTAGATGAAATAAAATGGGTCATCGGCCCCTGGAATACTCCATCCCCCCTTCCCCCAACAAGGGAAGTCTTCCTTCTTCCATCTGTCTAACGCTCTATTCCTTGAGCATGCTCTACCAGACATATTTAGATTCAATATTTTTTTAGATGTGATGAGCGTGGAATCTGTCTATCTGGGCCCTAGACTAAAGGTTTGAACATGTGTGGGGCACTCCAATCGACGGTCTGTGTCATGGGAATGTCTATATCAACAGGATATGGCTTTGTATCATAGGAACAAATGACAAGAGGATACCAGAGCAATGTCAGCTTGGCCATGATTGAATCGGGGCACGGTCGTGATGGTGTAGAACCCAACTATAGTGTGCACTCAGTGAGGTTGTCCCGTGTATGTAGCATAAAAAATGGATGCAATCACTAACATTTTAAATATTATATTTACATACATAACACACTAAATCATACATAAAACACAAATACCATGGTCTATCCCCTCTATTATAGCCAAGCAACAAGCCATTATAGGAAAAATTATTAGGTTCGGACGTCCGCACATCTGGACAGTCATTCACCGGCCACCACATTACCCGCAATCCAGGTGTAAGATGATGTGGCAGCCCATGAAGAGTTGTTCAGACTTGTGGTGTCCATACCTAATATTTTCTCCAAAGAAGGCTCCATGTATTAGAAGAAGAGAGAGACGGTGATGACTCTCTAGAGATTCAATCCTCTCATCCATGCTTGCTCTCTTCGACTTTAATTCTCCTATATTTGTTTCTTCATTATCTCAATTGCCACCTTCTTCTTTCTTCTTAATTTGTTATACCTCACTCCATCTACAACCATAAATCAAAAGAATATTGTTTTTAGCTTTCTTACTACTGTGCGATAGGCTTTACCCAATAATAACGAAATGTCAAAAGCCATCCATAACTTTACCTAATTTATCAAATGGGAATGGTTTCAAGCCTGAGCTTGTTGGATGTGTTCATGGGTATAAAATTATAAAATAATGTAAATTCCCAATAATTATTTTCTCTAAACACATGAATTTTATCTAGAAGATGGAAGTGTTGTTCATTTTGGGAGGTTTAAAAACCTTAGAGAAGATGTTGAATTTGCTAGTGAACTACTCTTAGATATATAAGATTTAATATATTTTAAAGATTTAACTGGCCTAAAAAATTTACTCATTTCATTAATGGCTTGGACTTATATATAGCCTTATAATATTTACAAATAATTCTCTAGACTTCTTCTAATTACAACTAGGACCCCACATTAAATACAACTCTCAACACTCTCCTCAAGATGGACAAAAGATATCTACTAATCCCATAGTGTCAAACAACTAGACAAATCTAATGAGCTAAGTCCTTTGGTGAGACAGTCAACCACTTGCTCTCAGTGGCTATATGACTTAGCTTTGGTAGACCAGTATTCATTTGTTTCTTCATTATATATAGTGTCACATATCAATCTCCATGTGTTTGGTTCAATCATGTTGCACCGAGTTGTTGGCTATGTTGATCGCTAACTTGTTGCCGCACCACAACTTCATTTAAGCTCCTTGGTCCACCTTGAGCTCTACCAATAAGACTCTTGATACATCTAAAATATATGGTGTTTTTAGACACATTTGTATACAGATTTTTTAGATATTGCGCTTTAATATAAGGTATTTGTGTGTTTTTCTTTCAGGTACAAGTAAAAAGATGAAATGCTAAGAGGAGTGAAAAAGGATCAAATTTGGAGCAAAAATTTGAAAATGGTACAAAAGAGTTTTGGCGCCTAAGTGTCAGATTCGACGCTTACACTCTGGTGAAACAGAGAAGGCTCCATCTAAGCACCAAATACCTCACTATTAAGCACTAGAGGCAGTTATGTGATGGTTTACTTCATTTGGCCTAATTTTGAAGGGACATTTAAGGCACCTATTAGCTAAAGAGGGTGGTTATGACCACTACAAACGAAAATATGGTTAGAAGACTTGTGAAATGAGGCATCCTTTGGAGAATACATCTAATTGGGACACATTTTGAAGAGTTATCATGGCACCTATTGGAGATTTATAAAAGAAGGAAGTTGAGACTTTTTGAAGTGTGCTTGAAAGTTCTGAAAAGTGTTAGAAAGGGGGAGTTTTGAGAGATAATTTTGGAGAGATTTTCAGGCATCACAATTTTACTTTATTCTTTTTATTTTTGGTTTTATTGTAAGAGTCAAGAGTGTTGTAAAAGAGAAGAGATTCAAATGAACTTCACGAGTTTGGTGGAGGATTTGAGATAAATTTTTATCTTTTATTTTTAAACTACTTTTGGTTTTAATTAAGATTTCTTGTTGATTTGACAATGATTTCTACTTTTAAACTATTTTCTCCATAGATTTTAAGTAGTTTTCTTTATCTTTCTCCTTAAAATGATAAGTAATTAAAAGTGTTGGATGAAAGTTGAGGAAAGTATTGATCTTTAATGTTGGAAGAAGTTGTGATGATTTAAATCCTTGCACTTCATTTACTTATTGATTTGGCATATCCAGATGTTAAAATTTATTGTGAGAACATGCAAGAACTGGGCTGGTATTGTCTCAGTCAACAATTGGAAAGAATCACATGAGGTTGTATGAATGAGAATGTAATTCATATGATTTAGTGCAAATAAATAGGTAAATAAACT